CCTCTCTGCAGAGCATCTACCACCGCAGGGTTCACAGGAGAGCTGCCTCCATTCTCAAAGACCCCACCCACCCCCAACATGGACTGTTCAAGCTTCTACCCTCAGGCAGGAGGTACAGAAGTGCCAAATGCAGGACCACCAGACTAAAAAACTCTTTTTTTCCCCCACTGCCATTAGAGCCATCGACAGCTGAGAGGACTCTATAACCTAACTCACTGGTCTGCACTTTAGCTTGTTGGGATTCACTTACTGTTACTGTACTATTAATTTGTATTGCACGCATTTCATTTAATTTGAGTTTTTCTTTTACAACCTGCTCAGTTTTGCCTCCTTACCTCATGTCTGGCTTATCCTTACCGCATTTTTATTTTAAATTCATGTACATTTATGTAAATAGTGTATTTTTATTTTTATTTAAAAATTGGTCGGCTTTCCAGAAAAGGCAAGCACAAGATTTTCAATACACAGAGCGTGTGTAACTGACAATAAAAATCTTTGAATCTTTGAGAGGCGAGACGGAGGAAAAGATTAGTTGGACTAGGAGAGAAAGTGCAAGCATCCGCCTCAAGTCACCGGCGTCGCATCCGCCACAGCGTGGACGCAGGCCAGCTGGTGCCAGGCGGCTTTCATCGTTGAGAAGCACCAAGTCGAATTGGCTGAACACTTTCCCAGGCTTATGAGAAGAATGTCATTCAGCTATTTTGTGTAATTTGATGTTTTTAAATTCTTTTCTTTTTTTCTATTCATTACTAACTTACATTCTATTTTATGATAATTGTTTTACATTCTGTGCTGAGCTTGTTAATGGATAACCTCTAACCTTAAAGGTGATAATGCACTGTAATAATAAAGTAAATAAATAAATAAAGTAATTTATCAAGAACAACATCTTCTATATATTTCTTATCTTGAATAGCTGGTGGTTTGGATTGTTTTCGTCTATTTTAAAGAAACAGTCTTAGTCACTAAGTCTTGGTCTCTGGTAGCAATATTCTCTTTGATATTTTACAAAGTAAACAATTTATGCTCAGTAAAAGAAAGGAGCCAATTGAGAATGTACTCACATCTAGTACACTAGTATAACACATGGAATCAGGCTGAATATTATTCACACAATAGCAGAATCCACGGATGCTTTTTTTTCTTAATACAAACAAAAATATTCCTTCTGATGGGAGCGATAACAGTGGGACTAACGTGGATTCTGAATATTATATCCTCCTATCACTGATTATTATGAATGTGCTATTCCCCAACCCTTTTTATCAGACGGAAACCATTCAAAATGATATCAAGCTGTGCCTCATTTAAAGCACGTCGAAAGCAGGCAATTCTATTTGAGTTGATATATTAGCCCCTCTGAGGGTAATTGTGCGTTTTACTGCCATCTACTTGTAACTGTAATACTATGCAGTTTAATTATTGTTGCCCAGTATGTGCATATACAATAACGACATATCACCTGAGCGTGAAAACAAATCCTTTTGTTTGAGTGAGTGGTGCAATGAACCACGTCCGCTCTCGCTGCGCTGTTGGCAGCTACCTGAGATGCAGCGTGTAACTTGACTGCTCCCAGAGTCCAGTTGTGAGTTCGCGACGGGCCTCAGAACGCGACTCCCTGGAGAGGATCCCTCTCTAAAATACACCGATTCGAAGACTGACGCCCTCACAATGCAACTGGCAAATGCCCGTGTGTTTTATGAATGTCTCAAACTTCTCTCACAGGCTCGACCAGGCCCATGACCAGTGGACTGAACCCAACGTTTAAAATCGCCAGACAGCTCCTTTGACTATTAGCAAAAGTTCTTCTGTAGTATTTCTCAACTGACCTGGCACGGCTACTGAGGACATTGCCTCCGGCTGGCACAGTGTATCCACCTTCACATGCTGAAAGGCTTTGTTGGGGGCCGACTGGAGGTGCCTAGAATTAGAAGGGAGGGTGAGAGAGCGCACACACACACACACACACACATAGTTGCTCACACAACGCGTATGTCTACGAGCAAACGCATCTGCAGAGCCACGCGTCATTGCCCACCTGGCTTTAAACTGCTCGGCACGGCCCTCCGGCTTTTACTGTAGGAGTTGAAATATTTATGACAGTTGGATGCTTGGAGCAGTGGAGCAGAAGCTACGTCAGCAGCTTCTCCTCAAGCCCACCACCATTACTCAAATCATGTTGATCTGACGCAACTCAAGTGCCTCAGCAACTTTGGAGTGAGTGAAGGGCTGAAGGATGCTAATTAAGTGAGGCGGGGGGGAGTTTTCCCAACAAGCACATGAAAGTAATGGAAGAAAACTGTGCTCTCTTTATTTGGCCATCGCCAATCAATAAAAACAATGACAGGAAGAAATGGCACGCTCAGCTGGAGAAAGACTCCTCGAGGAGCCAGAGTGCTGACTAGCAAGCATTTTGAGAAAGAATAATTGTCCACACTCGTCAATGGCTTTTAATACTTTCAAGGTGCCTTAGGAATGAAACGTCTTGCAGCAACGGGCCAACATTCTCAACATTTACAGATGTGTCGTTCTGCCGGTTTTATCCCATTTGAAGTAGCACAGCAAGACTTCTACTTTAACGTTTCTTTGCTTTGTTTCACAGGTTGCAGCAATTCAAAAATCTCTCAACACTGCCGTGAGTGACGGGCATAAGCGAGGGCTCGAAAAAACTCACCTCTTCCACTCCTCCTCTCCTTCCCAGAACTCATAGACGACAAAGGATAAACCGTCCGGCAGGCGCACCGCAGTCACACTGGAGCGGAGACAGAGGAGAATGGCAATGAGTGGGTGATAGTCAGCAAGGTTACGGTTGGAGAAGTCAGATTATGACAGAATGGTAAGTAGATCAAGGGAGGAGGGGGAAGAGGTGCAGGCATACCGTAGGTGGGTGGTGGGGGGAGGATAGGCTCAACACCAAAGAAGAGAAAGGTGGAGAAGGTGCATATAAGAGAAGCAAGGTGGAGGATGTTGAGGATATGGGGACACATACGTCATGGTAGGCGCACAGAAAAGACATATCATTGAAATGAAAACACACACAAACAATAACAGTTTGGGTTTAGGGGGAAAACGATGGTGAATGCACAATATTGATGCCGCAGCACTTGACACAATGATGGGGGCTCGAAGATTGCATCCCATTTTTAAAGATGAGGCTATAATAATCTGTGTGTGTGCGGATGGGGGAGGCTTGCTGTTAATGGTCACTTCCACGAGGCACTTTAGAAAACACATTTCGCCGTAATGAACAAGGGCGCCATCTCGCCTTTCCACCGGTTGTCTTTACGATGGTCCCTTTTCACATTACCTATTGTCACTTCATCCATTCTTTACTTAAGCAATAAGGTACTCGAGGCAGTACTGTATCATCAATAATGTAGTGTTCAAGGCTTTGCCGGCCCTGCGCTGTAACATTATGGACCATAAAGTACCGCCTCGAGTACCTTATTGCTTTGCTTTTATAATACGGTTGCCAGCGACTAAATAAAAAACAGTAAGTTGCCTTTCAGCACATAATAGTTGTAGGCACCGAATGTTGTGTATCGCATTTCAGTAGTCTAGAGAAAACAGACCCCGTTCGTGTGGCTGTTGCTGTGAACAGACAAACAGGCAACATCACGTGTGTTAGCTTAGCATCAAAAGCTTGTTGATGATTAGCTTGGAGATTGACATGAATTCGTGCATCGTCTGAAAACATCCCAGGTCCCCTTGCCAGACCTGCTCATTCATTCACATTGCTCATGACGTCCACCTCTACTAATATGAAATAAGTTTACACGAAACATGCTTGCTAAGCTTGAAATGACACTTAACGGTCGCGCAGAAGCTACTTATGTTGAGTGCGCACATGGAACACTCAGCTAAATGTAAACAGGTGTACAGTACATTATGGCTCAATGCACTACACACCTTCACTAACTCTAAACCAATCACAATGCTTTATTCCGTCTACTCGTATTAGAAATATAGATATTTATTAGTTCTGAACCGAATGAATATCTCCATATAACGGTCGGTGCCGCTGACCGTCCTGCGTGTGTCTGATTCTCTCAGAACTGTCGTCCCTTTTATATTTTTAAAGCCTTAACATCTGTCTTAAAATATTTGTTACAAGATTGCTGTGGACTACTAAAGCCAGATTAATCATTGTACGGCAATGTGCCGAGTTTGTGCCAAATCTAAAAGGCCTCTCATCCGCTGCCAGTGGAAGCAGATGCCGCATGAACGTGGTGGGATTTCATTTTCATTCGACACCACAGCGAGAGCAATTGGAGCAGCTGAATCACGTAAATGGATGCTCAGGGTACCGCTTTAAACAAACACACTTTATATTGTGGTTTTCATTGTGCTAGCAGCAAAAATTGCACTAAATTGCAGAAATATCTAAATGATCCAAACGGACAAACCGGCGCAGTGTACAGATGACTACGAGCAGTAACATGCCAAACAGAAATACCCTCGTCTAAAAGGGAGTTCCTCTCTGAACCTGAGGAGGGCGCTGGAGGGGCAGGCTGCCCACCGACCCGTGAAAACGACTAGAAACAACTGGAGCTGTGTGAGCTCCGCTGGAGGATGGGATGATGGGCTTGTGCATGTAATCGGAAATTCAACCAAAAAGATAATGATCCTAAAGGCAGAGGCCAAATAAACTATGTACAAAACAGCTTGTTTGTGCATTAACAAAAAGGAAATGTACACGGCGACACAATTATTTATTTCCCTCACCTTTAGGCACCGTGGTGCCACCGCATTTAGCAATCAACCAAGTAAGTAGCAAAAAGCAAGTGAAAAAGACGCAACTGAAAGCAAACAGCATCCCCAGAATAACGTTAGCGTGTCAACTGAAGGCCTCTTGCTATTTACTGAACACAGCCGAATCACTCACTGCTGTTTAACCCCCCAGGAGAGAAGCAGGTGTTACTTACTGCTTTCTGTCTGTTAGTAACCCGACCTTGAACTTCCTTGAAGGTTTTTGGAATTACAGAAAGGGGTGTTTGACAGTGGACGGATGACAAAGTTACTGATCCAGTAAATAGTATTCAAATTCAGTAGCATTACCAATTCTTTTCACCGATCAACGAGGTGGGCATCTATATAAAAGGTGGTGGTTTAGCAGGTTTGTAAACTGTTTACCAGGTTCACCATCCTGGTTTTGTCTGCATGCATGCATGCATGCTAACACAGTAATTAGCTTTGAATAGGAATGTTGGTTTTATTTGGTTATACCTTGTATTAACTTCTCTGCACTGGCTCCCTGTTAAATCAAGAATAGAATTTAAGGTACTTCTACTACAAGGCACTTGCTGGTAAGGCACCGTCTTATCTTAAAGAGCTGGTAACACAAGGCAGCTGCGCTCCATAGATGCTGGGTTACTTGTTGTTCCTATGGTTTTAAAAAGTAGGCTGGGGACCAGAGCCTTCAGTTATCAAGCTCCTCTTTTGTGGAACCAGGTTCCACTTTCAGTTCGGGGGGCAGATTCGGTCAGCTCTTTTAAAGTAAAACTTAAAACTTTCCTCTTTGATTCTGCCTATAGTTAGGGCTGGCTCAGGTTAGCCCGGACCAGCCCTTAGTTAAGCTGCTATAGGCTTAGACTGCCGGGGGGTTTCTTAGGACACACCGAGCTCCTCTCTCATGCTCTCGTTCTACAATAATCCACGTTTTATTAATGCACATGACTAATTCCCCTTCTTTCCGGGAGTTTTTTGTGCTTTCTCCCCTAGCAGGTCTCCGTAGATCGTAGTTCCTTCTGGACCCCGGTCCTGACACCTACCGTGGCCCTGCTGACGCCTGCTGCTGCCATCATCATCATCATCATCATTATTTTAGATATTAATCATATTACTGTACTCGTAAACCAACATTACCCTCTCCTAAAGTCTTTGCGCTCTCCCTCCCCACAGGCTTCTGTGGATGGTGGTTCTATCTGATGGTGGTTGCCCCTGCAGTGGTCCTGCCGTGCGCCTGGATTACTACTCACAATTACTTCATTTCTGTCATAGGAATTGCATGTATTATACATTGTTCATTCTGTACACATGGCATCCATTGTAGTCTGTCCATCCCGGGAGTGGGATCCCTCCTCTGACGTTCTCACCAAGGTTTCTTATTCTTTCTTTTTCCCTCTTGGACTGTAAAGCCCTCTGAGGCAAATTTGTAATTTGCGATTTTGGGCTATACAAAATAAAATGAATTGAATTGAAATATATTGTAGATACTTACAGATTTCGGCTTCACGGAAATACAATCAGACAATTAGATGAAGGTCAATGCTTTAACAGCCTTAACAGGAGAGAAAACGCTTCAACAACTGCTGGGATCAGCTGTCAGTAGCTAAAATTCACAGCAGCAGAAGGTGTTTAACAACAGATGTTTAAAGATAAAGGCGTGAGAGCATTAGAGCACAACAGCACCCTGTAACCAAAAAGATTTTCTAACGTATGAAGCTCTAGATCAACTAATCATTCTCTCAGTCTCATCCTCATCCACCACCACCGGGATCGGTGTCTGGTGCTGCTTAGGGAGGATGCACCTTGATTACAAACATCCCTGTAGTGTCCAAAGACCCGGTGAAGACTATATTTAGAAGAGGCTGTTTTGGCAGCTCTTGCAGCAATTCATCTTTCAATTGTGAACACTGCTAGCTTTCCCCCCCATTGTTCTCTGGAAACGCGCTCTCGCTCGTCCAGGCTGCACGGGGATCCTGAGTGGACAGAAGATGCTCGCTGAGTCACACTTGGAATTCTGAACATGGAGCCATGTGTGGGCTTTGCAACCTAAAGGACATTTAAGTAAGTGTCTTTCCGTCCAAGGCTATTCTCGCATTGTCAAATATCTACAATGTGGAATATGGAGTAGTCAAGCCTTCTTCCTCTGCCCCTCTTGCAGACTTTTTATTCCAAAGTATAGACTGCAGTAACTGGAGGGAGAAACTGTAACACAAATAGAAGAGTTGCAGCAGAGCCACATCTTCAGAGTCTTGCCGAGGGCGTACATGCACAATATGTCTGTGGACTATGCACACAGAACATTGAGTCCGGGATCTGGAGAAATCTCCTTAGATATAAAACCGTTTCACGGCACCCTGAAGTTTTAGTCAAAGTAACGTTATAATACCCAAGCTATGAGTGTATCAGACTTAATTAACACATATTGTGTATGCTGTTAGTAAATCACCGATCCAAACCACTTGAGTTTTTTTTTTTTCTCAGATTGAGGAAGGATGATGAGGAACTACGCCGAAAAAAGCAAAACGGTGTATGTTCAAACATCAAAGAACAGAGGAGATCATATTTGAGATGGAAGTCAAAGTGAGAAAAACCCGAAAGGCCCTGACACTAAAAATGGAGCACATTAAATATTAAAAAAAGAGTAGGATTATGGTGCTGCGCTCTGCCCCAGCGGCAGCAGCAGGGCGGCTGTGAGCGTGTGCAGACTTACTGAAAGCAGTCTCTCTGAGCGGAGACATTCTTCAGATATTGCTTCAGAGCGTCACAGAAGTCGCCGAGCTTCTTCTGGGAAACCACCATCTCGTGACGAATGAGGAGCAAGGACTGCAGGGGAAGAGAGACGGAGAAGTTTAGGTTGTTTTATGGAAGTAAACAAAATTGTGTTTCATACAAAGATACAAATATTCATGTATATTGTATAAAGGTTCTTTACGAAACAAAGTAAAGGTTCACTTGACTTTTTAACTGACTTTGTATGTCTTTATCAGTTGACATTTCTCAGTTATGAGTTTGTTGGTTCAAATAAGTAAGTACTGTACCTTTTAAATGATTAAACCTAAACAACAACAAACCTGCCTCATAGAAACAAATTCCTTTAGACCCGGTTGGGTTGTTGAAAGAACAAGAAATTTAACAATTTTGCAAAAGCCACTCTTTAAATATTGTGTTTACCAGAGATGAGTACTTACGAGTTTCTTGGAAACTCATCAGCACAGTTTTTCTGCATGACACAAAATGAAATAGTGACCTAATAGACTCTCGACTAGGACCAAAAGACCTAAGTCAGCTTCTCTCCCATTTCTACTTTTTCTATAGTCCCTTCCCATGCGTCGCCTACAGCAGTGTGTTTGCTTGAATCCCCTGAATCCTTTGGCCTCGGTGATCCCAGACCTTTAGCACCACAATTACGTTGAAAGAAATGACATTGCGTCGTTATCTACCTACCGCAGTGGATTTTTGATAGCATCCGCAGGTAACCAGAAGCTTTGCGATACGACTGCAAATCCTTTAAGCACCTGCGGTGAAAGAGTCGTGCGTCCCCTAAAGCTACATTTCTCCGTTACCAAATTATTCTGCAGAAATAAGCAAAATGTTCTTGATCTCACAGAGTCTGTAGGAATGTTCGGATGGGCACTTCCTGTGGAGCCACTGGTCGATTACACAAACTGTATAATGTAACTGTAGCATCTTCAGTGACCTTTGTGTTTGTCTGTGTGAGAAGAAAAAAATGATCTTAACTCAATGAGTAAGTACAGCCGCTCCCTCCCGGTGGCCCAGCAGTAAGTAACAGAAGCGTCAGCGCGTGAAAGGTGCGAGCATGCGCGAACTGAAGTGGTGTGCAGTTCGGCTTCGGAGGATCATTCGGAGGATATTTATATGAATCCAATTTATAAGAAGAGGAAAGAAATTGGTGTTGATCGTTACTGTATACAGCTCAATACAGTACAATTAAAAATTAATCCGTTATGACCTACAGAACTCCTGCAGTGTTACACATTCACACACACACACACGCTGTGTTGAAATACCTACCCTAAGATAATCTCATTCTGTTACATATAAATATATCTAAATATGTATTCATTCTTTCCTGCAGTTCACTTTTCAACTGTCAGAATTCACCTTCTCGTTTCACCTACTTTCTCTCCTCCGGCCGTTTCTTCTTGCACTTCACTCATCGTGATTTAAAACAGAATCTGTAATGAGCGGACAATCCATCTCTGAGAGGCCCCCATAGGTGAAAGGTGTTTTTACTGGCATTTTAAAGGGTGCCGGTGACAAACAATTCCACAGCAAAAACAGCACTTTGACCGAGACAGCAGGCTTTTCAAAAAGCATTTTCTGTCAGATTTAAGGCGTCTTGAATAAGGTGTTAAATTATTTGAAATGTCAATGTTATTTGAGATGAACTACAGAGAGTACTTAACAGAATCACAACTTTTAATAATTCTAAAAGGAACATGCACCCAACTTAACGGTTACTCATGCTGGAAGAGATGTGTTCTCTACATCTAGTGCAGTAAGAAGTCATCATAAACACAATGAGCTGCAGAAGAGAGAGAAATGGAAGTCTGCTGATTACCAATTCAAGTGTAAACGCGATACGTATGGGTATTCCGTTGCAGAAGCCATCGGGATAGTTATTTTGATCAATCCTTAAGATAGAATGCAATGTCGTCAATAATTGAGCCTCATTGGACTGTGTGGGGATCACCTGAAGTCATAAGCAGCAAGTACACGCAAGCAGAAATCAAGCAGAGAGATCACTAACTATATATATACATAGTGACTGAGCTGAAAAATGTGATTTAGTATCCAGCCACTTGTTCTACATTTGCTCAAACCATTCCTCTCTTCTTACTTTATTTTTACCTCACCTAGCGCTTTCTTCCCAACACTGATGTCACCTCCCTTGAAGTCAAATATTCTGGTTCTCCTCTGGGCATGCAAATGTTGTTGGAATCCTATTTATCTGTATAGAAATCACTGTGGTTACTCTGTTGCTGACCCCGACTGGTTGCTGGTTCTGTTTTAATCAGTTAACCCGTGTCCTCGGATGTTATATTAAGTTCTGACAGAGACTACAGATATCATCGGGAAAGATACAATACATTCGTGGTGCATCTGTTGTCTAACTCTAAATAGCTTGTTGTAAAAAAAAAAAAAGCAGTGCGAGCTCTCTCTATATTTAGCAGAATATTATGCAGCTTGTTCCCATTCATCACATCTGTAGCCACTTGTGCATAAGGGTGCTGTGTCACTTTGCTTGTCTGTTTTATTAGCATTCAACAGTGTTTATCTCTTGACATCGCAGTTCATCTGCTGCCATTTACTCTAATTGGTGACACGAGGCAAAAAAAACAAACACCTGGTTGCTTGTTTGCACTGATACATGATTGCTATGATTGCAGAGGGGCGTGTCAACGGGAGGGTACCTGTGCAGCCTTATGTCTGCCGTGCAGACTAGTCGGAGACATGGACGCACACACACACACACACACACACACACAAACCTACCAACTCAATTAGAAACACTACATTGCCCAGCAGCCTCTGCTAATCTAATCGCTCGCACTCCATTAACCATCCGGCCTCCCTGACCGAATCAGCGCGATTACATCTGCTCCCCTCTGTCCTGCAGAGGTGATGGATCTCTGGCTCCGTGTGGCCCACATTGTTAACCCCGTCCTGACTTCTTCTTACATCCTGCTCATTTATTTTCCCAACTCAAACCTGACTGAAAAACACAACTGGACATAAAACTCAAAGTGAAACTTTTAACTATATCCACCATGAAACAATAATAATTAATAAAGATTGTAAACCTCGCGTGCAATAACGTGTGACAAAATAACTTAAGTGGTCATGAACTGTCTTGATTTGGTGCGCTGGTGGGATTTGAAGGATAACGCCTCGCCTGACAGACGTCAAGGTCTTGGTTTCTGTAGAATGAAATCAAAATGTGTTCCCACATAACGGACCGAAAGCCACAATGTCTAAACCCTCCTCCTGAAATCCTTCAAAATGCAGGACATCTGAGATTAAATAAACATTATATGCGTAGTTACGATGAACCGAGGCGTGATTCACTAAACGTCTGCCGGTTTGGAGATACGCACACACTCCGGTCAGAGGGCTCATTACTTCATGGAGTTTAAGCTCTGCATTGAGCTTTCACAGTGAATTACATAATGAACATGCATACATACATACATGGCTGCGTTCTAAATTGCACACTAACACACTGCAAACCACACACTGTTTTGCGTGCTGCCTACTAGATTTTTTTAGATAGATTTTTATTTTATTTTTTATTTTTTAGATACCCAATTACTAAATTCTGTTATTACCAGCAGTCAGTTCCCACTGAAGATTTCTGCTGCACATTATGAGTAAGCTCTCGTGCTTTTACACGCATCATAATTTCCTCCAAGCAAGCAGTAAATTATTTAAACCTTTTTCCTCGCAGCCGTTGAACAATCAGAAGGGACAAAAATGTATATCGGGGAGGTGGTCACACACTCAAACCTCATTTCCTGCGCACGCAAAGTCAACGTCATGGATACAAAGGTAGTGTGCGGTTGGAACGCAGTCCGTGGTGACTTAAATAGGTGAACAATTTGAACACAGTCTCACGCAGATTCATTTTTAAAACAGTCATTGCAGGCGCCAAGGTTAGAAATATCCCACCATGTGGGACAATCCACCAAATCCTTATGTGCTTTCGAGGACATATATGCTGGCAAATGTAAATTACGTAAAAGTGTGTCAAATTTGATCATTTACAAATGTATGTCATCCTCCCTCTCCATCTCCCCCTCAAACACCTCAGTGGGGCTTTGCACTGACAACTGTACAAAATATGCAGAGATTATCACCATCTATCAAGGACACATGTGCTGTTCTGCATGTGTGAAACACGTGTGTGTTTAGCATACTTTAGTGTGGACTGTTGTCCCATTGGGTATGAAAATGAGAGAGGCAGAAAGATATGTGAATGTGTGCTGCTGAGAGAGACGGGAGGGGGTATCAGTCTAGCGTTACCATGGGAACAAGGAAATACCACATTGGGATCTTCTCTTCACACCTTCTCTCATTATCAAACCCCTCATTTCCCCACACACACCTCTTCCTCGTCTGCCCCCCCCCCATGCCTCACGCTGTGCTTTATGTTTCCTTCTTCTACTATCCCCCACCATCTTCCCCATCTGGTTTCCTCACAACTCTCTTCCTTCCTACTCATTCGCCCTTCTCCCCCTTCCCATCCTACCCACTGTGCTCAAGGATTCCCCCATTTATTCAAATAGCAAAAGCGAAAAACTCATCATGATTCATATTATTTCCCCTCGAGCTGCACTAACTAGATGGCTGACTACAGTCGGTTTACTTCACGCCGACCTGCTCTCTGCAGCAGTGGGAGAGGAATAAATACCTTATGATAAACATAAGTTGTACACTTACAGAACAACATCCCTTCTGGCCTGCAGCACCTTAGACAAGCTACGATGTTCTTTTCTTTTTAGGTTAATTGATTTGATTACGAAAAAGACTAGTGGAATGCTTAATTAGTAGTTCGGCTCAAAGTAGTAAGTATGTTTCAAGAAATGAGTACAATCATAATCATCTTAGAAATGGACTCTAAAGAGCTGTGAGTTATTTTAAACGATACAAAAAGGTTATGATAGCTGCCGTAGAAGAACCGGAGAGTTAAAGCTAGCTCAATCCTTCTTTTGTCACTTGCAGCTAAAACTACAACCTAAAAATCACATTTGACGTATTGTGCACTTGTGGTGCAATTGGCTGTATAAATTGTTGTTGTGGGT